GTTTGTCGAGGGGTCAGCATATAATTTTACATGAAAATAGTTTCTCTTTAAGTAACTTTCATGTAATAAATTACGTTCATCACGTGTTATTGTGCTTTTGATTGTTAAATTTTTACATTAGAGAAGCTGCCTTAGTGAGAAATTTTGTGTCTAGTGCGTAAACTAGTCAGTGCAGTGACCAGGCTTTGGCCAGGTTTTGATTCTTGGCAGGGCAGGAATTTTCTCTGTGCCACAATATCCAGATCATCTCAGGGCCTCGCCCAGCGTCTTCTCTGTACTTCACAGGTGTTAATGGCTTTAATTTTTTTCTTATGAATGTTTTTGGAAAGTAAGTGGTTTCTCATTTGATCGTAGTTTGAGTAGCAAAGTCCGATTACTGTTTAAATTCAGTTTTGCGTGTAAATGATGCCTTTGGCATAGAGCACGCAGATATGCCTCTTAATTTTAGCAACAAGACTACAAATACAGGCTGTGTGCTCCTTGTTAAATATTGTCGCTGTTAGTTTGATAATATATTAATTACTGTAAGTTTTTAATTACCAGTTAATACATAAGTACATATATTAATTGCAATCTATCAGTTGTTCGAAATATTGATCATTTTACAGCCGTAATTATTTTGTATTATTGATAATTTGACATTACTTTGTGTGTTTTAAATAGATTGCTCTGAAAAATGGCTGTCCACAAGACTGGGGTCTTGTTGAGTACAGTACAAGTGAAGATGCAGAAAATGCACAGACGACACTTAACGGCTTCTCCCTTCATGGCCAAAGCATTCGTATCTGCTGCAGACAACACTTAACGGCTTCTCTCTTCATGGCCAAAGCATTCGTATCTGCTATTATATCCCAGGTGTCCGGGCCATCAACTTGTACCTCAAACTCCTGAATGATTCAGTAAGTTACGCATTTCATCATGACCCAGTCCGATGTAATTTGCAATAAATTCCTGTATTTTTTATTACTTCTTGAAGGGGCTCAGTGCTTGAATGAAACCCCACTTTCTGTCTTATCCTATCTGCTGTGAGGGCCTTCACATGTATTTATGATTACTTGCAGCTGCTTTTTTCTTCTCATTCCTCTCCTCTTCTTCTTTTTCATGGTTTCACATTCTTCATCCTCTGCTTCTACATGTCCTTCTAGGTCTGCATTTCTTTATGTTGTCTTGGGGCTTCCAAACCAACACTTCTTGCAGTGCATGACTTTTCACCGCAAGCTTCGTTCATTGCCAGTTTTAAACAAAAATGTATTTGCATTTGTTTCTTTTGTGTTCTTGTATGAAGTTCTGTTGTTCTTCTGGATTTGCTGTCTAACTAACTCTGAAATACACATTTTAGGCAGTTGTTAATAATCTTGAAGCCTGTGATTGACCTTTATCGTCTGGACGTCGATGTCGTCGCGGCCCGTGCTCGTTCCAGCTGCCTGTGTGATGCAGTGACAGACTGCTAAACCATTAACCCTGAAGTTAAATCTTGTCAGAGTCCCATGATACAAGGATTTAAGTCTCCTGTTCCCATACGATAAAGGTCGATATTCTGTATAGCTTTCCTGTTTCACACCTCAAATCTACAATGTGTAAATGTATTTGGGTTTGGCGCAACTGACACTTTTGCCTGCAAGGACTACATTTACGGTAAATTGCTCCCATCTGTAACGCTGTCTTGGGTGGCCAGCTCGAGCACATTGCATTTCTGAGTGAATTTATAATCAGTGATCAGTTCCGCTATGGAAATGGATGTGATGTACTTCGCAGGGTAACAAGGGGAAGGCAACGGGGTTACTGCCAGACCCACCAGCCCCTGCTGTGTTCCAGCAACTGCAGAACCTTGCTAAGCAGAATCCTGTGTGTAAGTTTTAGTTCACACATTCTCTTCTGTGTTTCCCACCTTAGTGGCACTCTTATGTCTGGTCGGAAATCACTAGATTAGCTGTGCAGTCTGGCCATGTTTGCCCGAGAGACAAAAATTTGAACATGCCTACAAATACTGACATTTCTGTAAACTTCTTTGTATTACGTTCCCTAAACTGTTCTTCATTGGTGCTGTATTGTGAGACCAGTCTCATGAATGTGGCATGAAATGCAAGGACAAATGCCGAACCCCATGTCACATCATAAGTTTGTGACCGCAGACATTTCGCTGAAGAAAAGTTACATTGGAAGTTTCAGACTGTGCGCTCAAATTTATAGATTATTCAATTTTTATTTGTACTTTCTATCTGTAAACTATTAGAGAACCTGACATTTATCCAGGGTATTTTACACATAATAATACCCGTACTGTGTGATTATGAGGAAAAAATTCAAATCAGGGCCAGAAAAAGTAGATGACTAAATAAGCAGTGGAATATAAATTAAGGAGTTTGAGCACGTTCTTTATGTTCAAAGTACTGAACTTTCACCTCCATTAAAGCTGTACTGTACTATTCTTTGCACTGGAATAAAATGTGTGTTATGCTTTGTGTTGTGCTCTTTCCCGTACTTCCTTTGTGCTATATATTTTACTGTACAGAAGGTAACAAAGTAAATGTCAAGTTAAATATTTTCTTCGTAATTTAAGATACTGGCAAAGCAAAATATAATTGCATCGTCAAATTTACTGGAAGCTGTATTTATATTTGTTAGTAATGCTTAAGTGTCTCCCACTGTTAGTTCGCTCCCTAGACGCTGCTGAACAATTTTGGTGTATGTTACTTGTGTTTATATGACTTAGGCTCAGAATTATGGTTTTTGCAAAGTTTTTGACTTTGTGAAACATGGCCAAGCCACAGGCAATGTGCAAGCTTTATAAGTATGGGTCTCGGCATATTAAAATTAAATTTTATTGTAACTAATGATTATAAAAGTGTCCAGTATATGCTGAAGGTACAATAACATAAATACTTTGGTCAGAGTAATTTAATATTAACATTTACAATAAATGTTTATACAGTGGTGATGTAACCCTTCACCTCTATTGAAAATCAAATTTTGCGCATATTATTCACTACTGAAATGTAATAATACTTTTAATATTGTAAAAATGTTGGCACTTAAAGCAGTATGATGATGCCACTTATAAAATAAATCCTTGCACAGAACTGTACACAAGAGCAATTAATTGCTTGTTTTCTTGTAAGTTTCTTTAACTCTTTCAACAGTCTGTTCTATAGAAAATATTTCCATCGTAGCACTCTTTCTCATTACTGTCAATAGCAAAATAATTAAAATAAATATTTTTACTCACACACCTTCAACTGCACTTGCATAGGTCTCATATGATAACATGCATGTTGGTGCTGTTCCAGGTTACGTAGATGAAACTGTAACAGCAGAATGTAGGGCCTTGCAAAGGCCTCTTGACCTTGAATGTTAATTCTCATAAGAGTATTCAGTAAATCACTTTAAAAATTGTGTTGTTTGTGTAAATGTGTTGTATTTCACTGCTTCTCTTTCAGTCCTGGGGAAAATTAGAATATTTGTGCAAAATTTAACTTTGGTTGTGAGGAGATCCAGTAGCTGTCTCCACATTTAACAAAAGGGAAAATATGGTCGGGAGTTGGGGAGCAGTTACTTAATGTGAGTTTTAATTACTTTTTTCCAGTTGCCCAGAGCCTGCAAAATATAATCTGGACACAAATTCAGGCACTGCAAACTGGCAGTGAGAATGGCAAAAAGGGCAATGCTAATGGCGTTCCACCAGTTAAGAGTAAAGCTGCTGGCAGTAACATGCCAGGGGCCCCCGCCGGCATGGTTCCCGCCTCTGGCACTTCGTCAACTCCGCCAGCGCCAGCTGCAGACAATGCCCAAGCGGCGTTGGTGATATTGCTAGCGGCTCAGATGCAGGCGCAGATGGGAAGCAATCACCCGTCACTTCTTGGAAACCCACAGATGTTAGCAACCTTACAGAACCTCATCAGGCAGCACCAGGGTGTTCCAGGACAATGCCCAGGTCCAGGTCATGGACCCACTGCTTCAGCACCAAACCCCAGTCTACTTGCCATGCAAGCAGCTAGCATGACTTCTCCTGCTGCCTCACATTACCAGTTTCCTCAAAACCATGGCAGTGTTCCAGACACCAGAAAAGCCTTGCATGGTAGTGGAATGAAAAATGGCTTTATGAAGCCTAATCCACCACAAAAAGTAAGTTGTAATCTTTAAGGTATCTTAATACTATGTGTATTTAGTTATATTCCTGTGATTTGTATGTATCATGAACTGTAATTACTTTGTAATTGAGGATATTAAGTGTAATAGAACTATAAATTTCATCAACATTTTGATTCCAAGGCTTTTTGCCATGTTATGGACCCTAGAAAATGAAGCTTTTTTGATTTTAAATACCTAACTAAGTTGACCAAGTTTGGTACACGGAATATGAATATGATCTAATTTATCACAGTTACTCTTCATTGCATGATTCAAAATTTGTAACATTTTCAAACACTTTCTGTAGTACAGTGCCCACCTTACCTTTGTGCTGTCATGAGTAGTTGATTTTGTTTCATTTACATTACAACCAGAAAATACAAGGAATAAAATGTGTCATTAGTTTTGCCAAATAACTGAAGACAGCAGCATGTCCTAAAATTTACGAGATATTACTGTGTGCGCGCACCATAGCCATGTATTTCTTTTGAGTGAGTTGGTGGGTTTTTATCTTCGCAGGTGCCATTGTTGCCCAACCCATCAACAGTCAGTATGAGTCCACCTCCGGGCGAAGTGGCTCCCCGTCCGCCATTCCCCAGCCCAGCGTTGGAAGATGCGACAAATGCTGGTATTTTGGGCATGTCTCCCCTCTCTGCTCAGGTTCCCATTCAGGATCCTACAAATTTTTGGAATGGAATTCTTGGTCAGATCCAGAACCAGCAACAGAACCTGAATTTGCCACAGTTAGACCCAAACCTAGTTGTGAAAAATGGTTTCTACGATCATGGTCTGGCAGGACACAAGACTCCGCTCCACACAGACAAGCCCAGCAACGCCCATTTCCAGCAGCAAGTTGTGTCTGCTGCAAAGAAGCTGCCACCTCATTCTCACACACTCAAACAAGGTGGTGGTATGCTTTTCACAGACATTTTTGCTGGAGACTTGCAGCAGACGATCAGTACCTTTCTTAGCAATCCCCAAAACTTGGACCAGATCTTAGGGTCCTTGTCAAGTGCCATTCAGACCAATGGAACAGCTTCAGCTGGGATACCTGTTCAACGCCAAGTTTTAAGCAATCCTCCTGGGTTTACTTTCATTGGTCAACCAGGTCAGATGCTGCAGGCACTTCAACCTCCTCAGCCTCAAGCAGAGCAACCTTGGGCAATGTCTGTGGCTCCTTCAACTACTACTGGCCCGCAGTCGATAGTTACCATGGCTGCAGCACGGCCAATTCTAGGCAGCCCGGTAGCTGGCGGACGTCCCATTCTCAGCACCGCAGTGCCTGCGGGCCGTCCCATTCTGGGAAGTCCGGTACCAATGGCAGTTCCCCAACCAAAGCCACTGGGGTTCCTCGATGTGAAGGCAGGACAGATCCGGCCATCACCATTCCAAAATGGTTGGGCTCCCGGTACCTTTCTTACTTCACCAACAATTCCTGGTGGCACTACTACACAGTTCGGAACATATTCTGGTCCAAGTCTGGTGCCCAGTTTATGGTCACATCCTGGAAGCCCCATCCTCATTGCCTCACCTCCTGGACCAACTGCTGCAGGGCTCATAACACCAATAGGACAGAAAAGGAAATACAATCGCTTGTTACCGTCACCTGAACCCAGTCCCGAGGGTAATTATATCGGCCAGCATTCCCAGGGGCTAGGAGGCCATTACGCAGATTCGTACTTCAAACGGAAGAAGAAGAATTAAAAGAGAACTGACTGGACTCTATTTTATTCTGCCATGTATAAGTGTTTGCACAGTTTTTAAGCCTGACTTCTAGGTCTTGGCTCTGTATTGGTGTTTCTTTTATTTAATAGCATGTAATCGCAACAGCAGTAGAACTGAGTCACTCAACAACATATTGAATATAGTGAGTGAGTAAGTTCAGGAACAGAAAAGAGAAATCATACATGCTCATTGCCCCCCTCCTCACCTTTCACCCATTGATTCATGCAACATTCATTCCAATAATTCAAAATGTGAATTTATGAACTTGAATGTAGTGCAGCTAAAAATGAAAGTGCCTTCATTTGTGATGTGGTATATTTTGTTATTTATTTTAGAGTAAGTCTCATCACTGTTGAAGACTAACAGTTATATAAAAGAAGATGAAATGTTTAAAATAAAAGCGATATTTTTGTTAGGAAGTGTATTTTGTTCCAAATAGTGGTGTGGCTGTAATTTAGGAATGTCCTCACATCACTTTCTTTTAGGTTAGTTCATGTGTATTTGTGTGATCTGGGGACTTCTTGAACACCTGTCATGTCTTGTAGTGCTACCACATGCTTTGATATTTTGACACTAATATTGTGTCGAACGATCCCATCGTACTTTTTACATAACAAAGCACAACAGATAAACAATCTTGTTCGACTGTCTTCACATCACAGTCTTCACCTTGAGACAAATGTTACTCTTTCTTTTTTGTTCTTTTCTCTCTCTCTCTCTTCTTTTAATCGCTGATGTTACTTCTTGAAATACAGACATTTTATGCATTTTACTTTCACACTTGTTCAGTCTGTAACAGGACGCAACGTGGTCTTAGTGTAAGTCTTCATGAACAGTTGATATGAAGATGTCCGTCTTCTGGGTTATTGCGCTGTGTAGTCTGGTCGATGTTAACCAACGTTTCAGAGGTCATACTGCCTCCGTCAATATGTCACCAGCAGATGTATTTCTTTTTTCATATGATGTGTCATTTACATGATTTGCATTTCATTCTTATTTCATACCATATCATCTCATTACTTCAGAATGTAATTGTGTATCTATATATGTACATGGGGAATTTGTGATTATTGTATTCTGATTAATTTAGCTTTGAATGTTTTCATGGGATCCAAGTGAGTGACTGAAGTTTAGTTTTATACAAAAATTAAATTAAATTTTTAATATGGAATATGCATAAATTCCATTTTGCTTTGTGTCTGTACACCATGATGAATTCTGCCCGTGATATTTTGTGTAAGATCTTAAGCCTAGGAGAGAGAGGACCTGCTGATGAGCTTTCGAGTATTTTTCATCCTTTACGATACCTGTTATAAGTAGAAATTTTGGGTTGTCGTAAGGTATAACTTATTTGTCGCTGAACAACACTGAATGATTTTGTTTGTACCTGCTTTATTCTTCACTTGCAAAGATTTGCAAAACTTTGTAACACTTCTGTAGTTTTTATTATGGAAATTTACACTAATGTTTCGTGGTACTTATAATGTGGTTGAAATGATTGTGTATTAATTTACATTTCTTCAATGTTATTCTTCTATTAGAAAGAAGTTGCTGAGTTATTGCTTAGGACAGTAGCAGGCGTAGATTAGTTTTGTTGGACATTGTCCATTTTCTGATGTAAGCGAAGGTTTATTGTTTCATGTGTGGGTGTATTATGGGCCTGCCCATGCAACTAACCTAGTATAATTAAAACCTTTTTATAAGTAAAGGAAAGACATGATTTTGTTGGATACAGTATTCAATATTGTACTTATGTGTTTTGTGAATTATCGTATCTGATGTTCTTATTCCACCTGTCACTTTCTGTCACTTCACGCTGCTGAATCTCAATAAAACATGACACTTCATTTCACTGTTTTTGTAGATGTAACACACAGTGTCCACATTCCACTTGCTCTTCTCTCCAAGCCGTCAGTGATGAACGTACAGAGTGATCTTTACCTTTTAAGTCCATATGTTTAAGTTAAAAATATTTCCTTTTATCTCTATTGCCAATAGATGAAATAACACATTCTGTGTTTCTTCAGTGAATAGGTTTAGTAATAGTTTTTGAAAATCTGAAAATTTTCTTTCATCACTGATTAACTTAAGTCCATAACATATACTACTGTAAGCATTTTAGATGTTTTATTATAATCACTGTTCCAGTATAATTTTTTCTTTGCACCACAAAGTGTCTTTGTAATGTAGTACAAACCATGGAATATTTATTGAATTTTTAAGTATAAAATATGAAAGTCTGATAGTGAAGACCTTACTTTTAGATGTGCTTCAATGTTTCCTTCTTATAATTTCAAATTAATGGCAAAATTAAACTTTAATTGAGGCTGCGTTAAGTCTTCTGACTGCAGGTACGTATTATATGAATGTTGTGGATCTGTCATTGGGATGAATTTAGTATCCAAGTTCCAAATGTTATTGAGTAAAATTAATTAGTTTTAATGTAGTCTAGTACACAGTTTCAGTTGTCTGGAATTGATCAACAGATATCACATGAATTCATTTATTCTGTAAGGACATTAGAAGTTTATCCATGATGAATTTCATTTCATGACATACAAACCTTGTCAAGTTAAGTGTGTCTTTTATGGACGCTGATGAAAGAGCTGTCTAACATGGAGCTTCTATTTGAAAGTTGATTCCTCTCAGCAGGGAGCCAGCAGTTCTGGCATTCTTCCTTGGGGACTTGGTATTATCAGCCAATTGTGGGATGCTGAGAAGACAACTGTTCCAAGGGAAGACGCTCATCTGGCAAGGACCAAGTGTCTGGAAGTGCCAGAAGGAAGCTTAAAACCAGGAAGAGCCTATGTAATACTAGGGGCTAATGGCAACTCGGGTACTACCAAAGTTTAGACAGGCCCTGATCAGGTGACTAAAAGACCAGGGTCTTCCTAGTTAAATAGGTTAACCCTTCCTAAAGATCTAGGGAGTAGGATGTGGTATGTGCAGGGAAGCCTTGTATTGTGATGGAAATTCCACTTTGTTCAAAGTAAAATGTGTTGACTCTCCGGTACTGTGGCTGATGTAATACAGATAAGCAGATTTTCACGTAAAAAAGTTAGGATTTTTTTGTCATTAGATCCTAGTCCATAATTATACGTTTTAATTACCGACAGTTAGTACGAAACTCGACATGCTCAAAATGTCGAGCTGAGATATCGCAGACGTCATCACTTATGACCGTCTGATGATTCATAACGACGCCACCGTCGATGAAGGCTGTTTCCAGTAGACTTTTGTGGGCTTATACGCGAAGAATGACTTGACTGATTTTGTGGAATTCGTTTTGTAAATTGTGTCGGGTGAGTGCAATGAGAACACCCCCATCTAGTGCCCAGGTAAAGAAACAGTAGGAGCTATAACCTCACTCCCTCACTCACTGTTGACGTTAGAACACGAACCAGCGATACGAAATACATGTCTTCCGTTGTATATGTAGTTTACTACTATTTTTCCATTTCAGCTAGTAGCATTCACAATGAAAAGAACGCACGTCCAAATTCTGTGTATTCCGTTACGAATTGCATCTTTCCAACCTTGCTTTATCTGTTATCTTAGATGTCCTTTGGTGATGCATCAGGAAATACAGTGTATGTTGGTATTAACTGTGTGTGTGTTGCATCTTTGATTTTCATGACGTTAGCACTGGCAATTCAAACAAGTCATTAAGCTAACCTCAAAGGTATGTATGTTAGATATTTTAATAATTAAAGAAAGTTATATAGCTTAAGGTGTTAAGACGAGTATTGTGGAATTTCTGAATTTCGTATTGAAAGTCTGTGTTATTTTCAAATCGCAAAATTTTTACCTGTAATGAACGATGTACTGTATAACTGACTAACTGTCCAAAAATTTCACAGCAAACATCAATAAGGGTACTACAAGAAAATTTAATTCTTCCTCCAAGGATGACTTGTATTTGTATAACATGTATTGTATTATTGTGACTACATCCTATTGTCATCTGACTAACTCATGGATCCATGGAATGTAATAAAGATGTATATATACTTAATAACCCAAAAGGTCTTCTAATTCATAGACAACTTGAAAATTCTAATATATTAATCTGCATTGTATGAAATAACCATAATAACTTATTATTTTCACCCTTCTATTTTAGTACGTGTTTCCAAATCTGAAAACAATATATCTGTTGTGGGTCAAAGGTCTTATGCTTCCAGGTAATAATAATGTTTTCTGTTATGAATACTTGTAAAGTAATGATAAGGATCGATGTTAATGTTATCTGACTCATATATCTATACAATTTATTATTTGTATCTATTAGTTTCAACAAATTTAAGAGAACTAACTACCTGAAGATGACCAAGGTCGAAACATGTAGTAGATTTTAATAAATATTGAGACTATAGTCATGAGACTTGTTGTGTGGGTGTACTGTCAGCCTAACAATTACAGCTGTTCTGCTTACCACAATTTCTGGAGGTTTGTGAAAGTGATATGATCTAGTTATAGAAATTGCTGATGTTATATACAAGTTGTCTGACAGTGTTACAGGTACCATTCATGATTTCTACATGGCAATTATAAACCCTGCGATTTCTTATCTTGTCATTCAAGATTAGGCTGTGAGTCTGTTCCAGCTTCAGTCCAAGGATTAGCACTGTTTATTATTTTACATTTTTTAACAGAAGTGATACATTTGTACTGAAGTTTGATTTTGTATGCTCTGGAGGCTTGCCTTTTCCTGCCAGCCTTTTTGCAGTGGAAATCAGAAGGACTATTTCTGTAGCTGGATGTAACATGTTGTACCTTATGGTTAACAGATGTGTTTTCTTGGAGAGGGCTTGTATTTACAGTCCAGCATGATGCACGTTAAGTTGGCCAGCAATCGCCTGAACTGTGGTTCCGTGTTTGGCCGTCCAAAACAGCTTCATTCTAATCTATCAAGGCTCGTGTTGCCTCCAAGCCTGCATCAGTCTTTGGAACATGAGGTCGCATTCATCCATTATGATTGAAATCAAGATCATCTTCCAACAAACAAATCTTTTGGCCGAGACACAGCCGTCATGAAAGTAACAGTCATTATGTACACTGACTTGCTTCTTGGACCTTGGAACTAGCTCCATTGATTGGGCCTGATTGAGTAGGTTTTGCTTGAGGACAGTGAAACATTCCAGCCTCTGAAATACCAGTTTCAGATAAAAAGTATGATAATGGATAATGTCTAAGAAGTTTGTTATTGTGATAATACGCCTCTGTCACAAAGTTCATTTTCACTTCCCAGACGTTCTGATCCCATCATGCTTGAGGGTCCCAGAGCCCAGCGACTCCCGTCCGTCGCAGTGCTTTAAGCTGACGAGATGTCCGTCGTGGGAAGGAAGTGGAGTAGGAGGTCAAGGTAAGGGCATATAGCATTCTCGGGCCACAAGCCGCGGCAGGCGGTCACGCTTCAGATCATGCAGGACTTTTATTGATGATAAAATGAGAAGAAGGCGACACTTCTTTTGAAGAAATCAGTGTTACCAGTTTCTGTAAGATGAAAGTAAAGAAAAATTAACACTGAGCCTTTTTTTATCTGTGACGTTAATGGCTTTTCAGAATCTCGCTTCAATTTGCTTGTCATTACTAAATTATCTTCACGAAAAATATTTTGCTGTTTTTAACGTCAAAGAATCTTTTTATCTGGGATCTGCAAATGCAGCGGGAAGGGAATTTGCAGTATTTTTATGTGATGTCGCCCGTACTTATTGGAGCCAAATTTGTTGGCCAGGTAGAATTTTGTTTAAAACAGTGTCGTTTGTTTGTTTGCTCACGTTTTATGATGTCTGTCGTGAACAAAATAAATGTGAAGAAGCACGTGCACGATTGCATGAATTTAAAATTTTACAATAAATGTTAGAAAAGGTAATACAGTTTCAAGATACATTTAAAAATTATATTTCAGTCTGAATTAGTGACAGTTAAAGATTTATTATTTTAAATTTGAATAAAGAACATCTCTGTAGATGAAGCTTTGGAAATATAATTTAGATTCTTGTGGATTGTAGACAAACCACATTTTGAGTTGGAGATTTTGTTTATCTGTTCGTTGGTTCCGCACTGAAAGGGATGCCGTTGTCGGTAGGGACCGCGTTGAGCTTTTTTGAAGCGCACATGTGTGTGTGCTGTTCTAACGAGAAACACTATCTGTGAGACATTTCAGAGCAACTGCACAGCTTTGGAAGCTCTCGCTGATAGGTCACCGCCATATCTTGTGAGTGTCGACCACAAAATTGGGTTTATCGTTCCTTTGACCGCATGTCGTTACAATATTCATTCTTGGAATTACTCATTTTAAGGGATATGCGTGTTTCCACATCATATGACGCCTTAATTTCAGCGTTTATTAAAAGATGATGTTCGACGCGTGATGAGGGAATTTTGTATGTGGGATCTGGGGTTTTCAGATGGTCGTCTTCTGGGTCCTTGTGCCGCAAAGTCTGGTAGAAGTTTACTGATGACCAGACTACATGGCGCAACAACCCAGAACACGGCCATCTTCAGGAAAGTCCTCTTCTGGTATACATTTTAATATTTTCTCTCTCTGCGCCTCTGTCTTCTGGTGTACCCCAGTCGTGCTACATGTTTGGCTCCAGTTCTCCAGTTTTCGTTGTAATCATTTCTCGTTCAAGCTGATGCTGTGAGCACGTGCTCTCAAACACTCGCGAAACTATGAGGCGCCATTTGAAGACAATTCCTTTTTTCTCTGTACCGACCGTTTTTAATTTGCCTTTGTCAGGCAGAAAACAGTGATGATTCTCGGAAATGAAGAACACGAGCTCTGATGTTACTGATTCTTTGGAATCATTTATTTTTAGATTCGTCTTCAGTAGAAACAAATTAAACAATAGAGCAGATTCCTTTGTCTGATGCCTCGTGCTTTTAGACGAATCAGTTGGTGGGTGGGATGCGTGTTGGTCGGAGCATGCAAGCTCCCTACATCGAAGAATATTACGATTCATTTTAATCGTAAACGTGAAAGAAGTGGATTCTGTTGGCAATGTTTAATATGAATACCAGTCGCTTGCATTCGTTCATGATTCACCAGTGCGCTCTCGTCATTTTCTTAGCTTAGATCAGAGAGACCCCATGTGTTGTGGCGAAGACCCCTGTTTTTGTCAAGGCACCGCGTTCTCTGAGACGTACCTGACACCAGCAGTCCGCTGTGAGTGTCGAATCTTTTGATAAATACTTAAATCGGTGTGTTAAACACATTTTTAAATTGATTTTTAAAAATGCGATTTTTTGTTAGATGCAGACCGGTAGAAAAATGTTAGTATCGAAGGAATACGGCGTATCCTTACACAACAGTTCATACGCTTGTGGAAAAGTTACCGTGTCGTAATCAGATTTCACCAGACTCTGCTCTCATTTAAAAAATTTCGATCAAATTGTGTTTTTTTTATTTAGTGTTCTGTCTGACGACGGGTCCATATGAACATGATCCTTCCATCCTTTTCTCGGACTGGGACCTGTTCATATACGTTCTTGGCAGATGATCCAGAAGTGGTTTGCCATTGCCTTCTTCTGTGTGTGAATGGAGTAATTGTTGGGATGCCACGGAGGAAAACTCCGTGTTGCCTAGACCACGGCCTTGCCCAACACAAGTTATAAATTCGGGCACCGCCGGGAATCGAACCCGAGACCCCAGGATTACAAAAATTTAACAGCTGAAATTAGTTCCTATTTCAAAACACAGGCTTTAATTTTACGCGTACTTCTGATGCATTTTTTAATAAAGAATTTTAAAATTCTTGTGACGTGAAATTGAGCCTGGAGTCGCTTTCACCCTTTCTTATTAAAAATGCTACTAAACCACTGAAAGCAGGTTTACAACTCAGTAATCTCTTTTAATGAAATGAGACTTCAGTGAGGTTTCTGACTGCTCTCTCTCGAACGGTTTTCAGTATCGGGTTGTGTGTTTACTGCCACTACCATGAGTCCCTCCAAGTTTTCATTTTACGTTCTTAATTTAAGCCGAACAGGTGCTTACAACGATGTTTGACTGACAGGTCATGCTCTCTGATGCTCGGTACAGAGTGTCACATGTGCGGGCCGCGAGTTGAGAACTTCTGGCTCGGAGCCTTCTGTGTTCTCCCCCTTTTGTCTTGGATCTTCGACGAGCTATTAAAGAAGTGTCAGTGCCACGGGTGTTGTAAATATTGTATTTAGTACAGATGCTTAATTTGCACAGAAATTTGAAATGTAATTTAATGACTTCATCCGCTTGTGAATTGTGAACAAACTTTTCCTTCCGTGTGAATGGTCTTTGGACGAGGGCAGAGCTCTGTATATCCACTGTTCAGCGACAAACGCGTTCATTGGTCGAAAAATACATTACATTTTTTTTTACAAGGGGCCAGCGCTATTTTTCTTGTCACCTGTTCCACTATTTGGTGTTTGCTTTGTGTCCGGTGCTTCCGTGTTGCCAACAATTTTACTAATGAGTTCAATTCGATTTAATTATTATGTGCATGCATGCACATTATGAGCTGCTGAATGCGAGGCCTACGTCGGAAATATTACAGAGTATTGGTGAAATATGATGCGAATATTTGTATTCCGTAATTTATAGCTTCGAGGCAGGAATTACATTTTGTTCGCTTTTTGTTATGAGAACGTGCGTCAGTCGGAAATATTGGCTATTGTTCTTGCTAAAGTAATTGCTTTTTAGTTAAGCTGGGAGAAACTGATGCATCTTTGCCTCCGAATAGATTTATGTAACAGTGAAAACTGTGACATCTTTTCTGTATTATGGCCGTCGGAATTCGCCAATTTCTGTCGCATCACGCGTACAGTTTAGCTCCACGATTTCTGTGTCTGATACTTGACGTAAAATGTCTTAAGAGACAAGTGTTAAGTGAGTGATGATCTGGAATCCTATTTTCGTTGGGAAGAAAAGTAGCTTCTTGATTGAGAATTAAGCTTTTACTCGGGAGACAGTGAGGGTCTTCGAATGCACAACACTCCAGTGTTTCAAGCGTCAAGGTCGCCTGTATCCCTCTGTCTCCACCCTCTGCTAACACCGTATGTAGCCTGAACGGCTGTAGATTTCATTCCGATTATGGTAATTCAAATTTGTAAAGTAAAATGTGCCCGGGGGGATGTAAGATAATCCTCCATGTGAGTAATGTTAAACAATTCGGAAATGTACGATGTTGAGGAATTTCGTCAGGAAACCTGTGTGACAGGTGATCCTTGTTCAGAGCTAAGTTTCCAAGGGTTCTTTTGTAAGCTTGCCTCCTTGTGTAATTTCCTCCCCATCTGTAAACATCTCTGGTTACGGTGGTGATGTGTGAAATTGAAACACGACGTGAATTCTGCTTTTGATGCAAAGGGCGCGGTGTTCGAGTCAGGAGACGGCTGATGTAACTAATTATCCGTCTGTTGCAAATTACGCCATATTTAGCAGCAAGGTTCATTGAGAAGGAGAATTACGGGTTTTCGATATGTTTAATGATCGAAGCGTGACGTGTGTGTGTGTGTGTCAGTGCGTCTGTTTCTATTAAAACTCCTTTTTGATAATGAGAATCATCGCTGCGACGAAGTTCTCAAGTTCTCTTCTGTTCTGTTCAGACCGATTGCATGCTCATTCAAAAGAATGTAGGTCCCAGGAAAAAAAAAACACTGCCACGTCCTATTTTTCACCAAAGTTTCTCGCTCCAGAAGAGCTCGGCTTTGTGCTAGTAGTTACAATTGCAGTCCATTGTTTGCTAAAGCGTATTGTGAGTACATAGGAACAGTTTAACAGCACGTCCATGCTATAGGACGTACCTCAGCTTAAACGCAGTGGGATACATCACATCTCTTCCTTCATATGATTATTTGATTAAAGAAAATTATCGAACCTATTATCGATTTCGCACCCTTTTTCAACTGTAGAGGTTAGCGTCGAATTAGATGGAAGGGCGATAATGATTGGTAGAAGCTGAGGATTTGGAGTGAGGTGGTCAGATTTAGACTTGAGGGACTGAGGAAAATCAAGAGGAACTATGGTGATGACAGCTGTTGTGACCGTATAGGGATTTGAACTGCTACCTTGCGAATTTAAGCTTAGAAAGTTACCACCACGTCAACATATGTTTATGAGATCGGAAGTTCTCACGACAGCGAGGAACTTTCTGATCTGCATGTATTTTGAACAGAGATCGAAGTGATGAAATTGGGTTTGACGAGAGTTTCGGCGTCGAGTGTTGATAGACACATTACTCTATCACTTCTAATTTCCTGGCCTTAGATGCCAGAAAACACCCAGCAGGAGGAGGCAGAGTGCTCGAACCCACTGCTTGCACAGCCTGGTGTATTCTAATCTGTTTATTTTGTGTGGATGTTGACTCATCTCTTAAGAATGTCGTTATG